CAGCCTCCTAAGACAGTGAGGGTCACAAGATCAGGATCATCTGGTGGACACACCCAGGCCTCAATGTTGGGGGCCCCCTCAGGGCCTGTGCTCCCACCCATGGGATGTCTGAGTCACCCCAGGATATAGAGAGAGGAGAGAAGAATTTTTCCTCCCTCCTTCCCTCCCTCCCTCCCCCCCCTCCCTGCAGCCCTCCTGGAGCAAAGGTCCTCCCTGCAAAGATAAGAGGAGTCCTTTGATCTCCTGGATCCTCCAGGGCTTCTCCCAGCCCAGATGACGAAGACCCCGCCCACCTGTGACAGGAAGAGCTTCCGAGCTACACCAGTGCTCCTGCCGGCCCCGGGGAGGGCGGGTGGAGGGGAGCGCAGGGCCCTGGTCACACTCCAATCTGCTGATGGTGGACACGGGGCTTTGTCCTCTCCATGTCCTTGCTGGACCTGACTCCAGTTCATCTCAGTCTGACCACATCAGGCCAGGGTCAGCCTCATCCAAAAATGCCCGAAAGCACCGTCCCGCCCTGTTCAGGGACCCCATGGACCACGGCAGTTGCCCATGGAGGGTGGATTCTAGGGGACACATTGCCTGGGCCCACAGAGCCTGGCCAAGGGAAAGGGCAGCTCAAAGGCTGGCAATTACACCCACCGCCCCTTTCCTACGTCTGCCCGTCTTTGTTGTCCAGTCTGCAGGCACATGCAATGGCCAGAGCCCTGGCAGCCATCTCGCGTCAGGAGGTCCCGTTAGAGCTGGTGCCCACGCACTCCAGCTGTGGAGCAGAATGAGGGAGCTGCCTCCCTGAGGTCCCTCTGGGCAGGGGCGGTGGGGGGGGGCATGCTGTGTCTGGCAAAACCCCACAGAGCCGGCCTCTCTGCGAGCGAGACCGAATAGCGGCTGAGATGTTGTCTGTCGTGTGCAGCAATGTTGGGGGGTAACGTGGGGGGAAGAGAAAGGACTAGATGCCAGACAGACCTGGGATGCATGCCCATAGGTGTGAGGAGAGAGCATGCTGAGGAGACCCCAGCCTCTATGAGCTGTGATGTGAGGGACACGCAGGAAGCAGGTCAGCTGAGGGGTCAGGGGAGACCAGGACGTGGATGGGGGAGGTGGTCCTGAGTGTGGGTTGAGCTCAGCGTGTGTGTGAAGGGGAAAGAAAACCAATGCATGTGAAGATAAGGGAGGCATACAGAGCAGGCAGGATGTGGCTGAGGGAGACGCGGCCACAGGACACACAGTGATAAGGGATCTGATGCGACCTCAATTCAGCCAGTGAAGGGTTTCGGGTGGGAAGTACAGTCATCAAATTGGATTTTTCTAAATTCACCCGCAGGAGGAGACAGGGTGGAGCAGGCGGGGGGAGGCCCCTGGAGGGCCCAGGAGCTGCCATGGAAGTGAGAACCCGGCTGGGACAGGGGTTCACATGAGGACATGGGAGGACATGGGTGACACCACAGGGTGTAGATTGCAGTAACACGGGAAGGGGGAGGTGAGGGCATCAGAATGACTGTGGCATCCAGTCCTAGACTGAGGCCCGTCTCTGAGGACACAGGAGGCAGGGGAGGGGCAGTCAGGTGAGAGGGGGTGAGAATCAGGGTCCAGAATTGCATTTCCTGGATCTCAGGCATCAGGAAATCAGTGCTGATGTCCAGGGGGTGTGGGCAGCTGTCAGGAGTCTTAGGAGGCACTTTTGCTGGTGCCACTTGGGGTTTGCATCCCCTCAGGAATCCACAGGACCCGCTTGGGGTGGCGGGGGGATGAGGAGTGGAGCAGGAGTGACTCACCCTCCTGCGTGTGGATCACCTGGCCCAGGCAGAGCCCTGCAAGGGAAGCCCCAATGAGACAGGTGCCCACCGCCAGGCTGATGTCCTTAAACGGAGTCAAGGACTGCATCTCCCACCACCTCCAACCCCCCTCGTCAGCATGGCTCCCATGGGGAAGCTCCCTCCCCTACAGCAGGTTCCAGACAGGTTCCCAGGTGGCCTCCCCACCAGAGCACCCCTTCTGGCCGTGTTTGTGTCTGACCTGTCCCCTTCCCAGTGTCTAGAACAGCCAGGTCCCTCCACTGGAGCTGGGGCTGAGGTGACACAAAGGAAGCAGAGCCAGCAGGCTGAGTGGGCCCCCAAAGGGCTGGGTGGAGGTGGGGCCTGGGTGCCCCCCACAGTCCCTCCCCTCTGCCCTGTGGCCCTCCCACCTGCGTTCTGACTCACCCAGGCCCAGGAGGGTGGTGAGATGGGGGTTCATGAGCGCCAGCCTCTCAACCGTTCTCTGCCCTTGTGCCCGGTGAGGCAAGCCAGGGCTCGGCCAGTCAGGAAGTGTGCTGGGGCCAGGTCAGGGGCTCATTTCCGTGGTCTGTCAGGAAGGGAGTGTGGCTGCTCCCAGACTCACGTTCCCCAATTTGGAGAACCTGAGAGGGCGTGGTTTCTGAGAGGCATAGCTGGTGAGATGTTTCCTAACCAGGGTCAGGCCCTGCCCAGATGAAAGCCACATAGAAGTAATTCATCATTCACAGACACAGACGACAGAAGGATGGATGGATGACACATAGATACTCAGACACATAGATATATAGAAACACAGAGACACAAAGGGATATTGACATAGCTAGATACATAGATGCATTGATGGATATCGAGATAGTCACATAGACACTTAGAGACATCGATACATAGACAGATACTAACATGCATGGATATATAGACGCTTAGACACATAGAGTTGAATTGATAGTTAGTTACATAGATGGATTCATAGATACATAGATAGATAGATAGATACATATATAGATGGATACATAGATAAATACCTAGTTACATAGATAGATGGATACAATGGTAGATACATAGAAACGTGGATAGACAATATGACATGGAAACTTCTTGGCTTGTCATCTGGTCCTCACAGGCTGACTGTCCCCAAACACACATTTCCTCGTGCAAATGCTTCAGTTTCTCACCTACAGGCCCCTCTGGGCCCTGTAAACCAGGACTGCAATCTGCACACTCCCCCGCCTCCCAGCTGCCTCTGGCTATTTCTAAACTGAAAGCCCTTGAGTCCATAGACGTAAATGCACTAAAGAAAGAGTCAAGTTGGTGGGCGGGGCTTCTGGGAAGGTTGAGTATGCACAGAAGGGTCTTGGCTGGTGATTGGATTCCCTTCCAGATGCTGATAGGCCTTCGTGCATCCATTTAGGGCACAGAACACAGACACTGTCCTAGGGAAGGTGGTCCTGTACCCTCCCCCCTCACAACACTGAGGTGCATCCTTGTGACCTCCCAGGGGAGGGTCCCCCCCAGGAGGAGGAGACAGAGGAGAGTCAGGACCTGGAGGGAAAGGCCTGAGACCCCTCAGCTCCCAGCCCAGGGATGGCTGTGGAGGCTGCAGCCCCAGGCAGGCCCCAGGCAGAGCTGTGCCATCAGGAGGGCAAAGGAAGGGGAGCAGAGGATGGAAAACCTCTCTAATAGTGTCAACAATACAGAAAAGATCAGCAGAAGGAGGGAAATGCGTACTATTCAGTGGAATTTCATACATTCACCATCTTGTGCAACCGTTGCTTCTACCTTGTTCCAAATTATTTTCATCACCCTCTAAACGCCTAAAGAAATGGTGTACCCACTGTATGCATGCTGGTCTGTCACAGGCACAGGACCAACAGGATGCATATATACAGAGAGATGTATGTGGCAGGATTGGCTCACACAATTCAGGAGTCTGGCAAGTGCAAAATCTGCAGGGAGGGCTGGTGGCTGGAGAGCAGGGAGCTGCTGCTGCTGCAGCTCAAGCCCCAAGGAGCCTGCCCCCAGCATCCAGGGTCAGTCCTGTTCTTTTCAGCCTCTGTGAGGAGGCCCACCCACCTGATGGAGGGCAGTTTGCTTCCTTCCCATGTCTTAGAGGCCCTGGGTGGCTCGGCTGGGGATCATGGTGATACACAGAACAGCGAGCTGAGATTAGTCCCCCCCCCCCCC